GCCTGGGGAACAAGCAGGGAGAACTGGAAGTCCTGGCACAGTCAAGGAATTATGATGTGATTAGAATAACAGAGACTTGGTGGGATAACTCACATGACTGGAGTACTGTCATGGATGGATATAAACTATTCAGGAAGGACAGGCAGGGCAGAAAAGGTGGGGGAGTTGCATTGTATGTAAGGGAGCAATATGACTGCTCAGAGCTCCGGTATGAAACTGCAGAAAAACCTGAGAGTCTCTGGATTAAGTTTAGAAGCGTGAGCAACAAGGGTAATATCGTGGTGGGAGTCTGCTATAGACCACCGGACCAGGGGGATGAGGTGGATGAGGCTTTCCTCCGGCAACTCACGGAAGTTACTAGATCACAGGTCCTGGTTCTCATGGGAGACTTCAATCACCCTGATATCTGCTGGGAGAGCTTAGAATCATAGAATATCAGGGTTGGAAGGGACCTCAGGAGGTCATCTAGTCCAATCCCCTGCTCAAAGCAAGACCAACACCAACTAAATCATCCAAGCCAAGGCTTTGTCAAGCCGGGCCTTAAAAACCTCTAAGGATGGAGGCATTAAATGGGGGGATGCCAGGGACAGGCAGAGCTAGTGAAGCTGATGGACCATGTTGGCCCAAGAACTAATGGAGATAACCTGGCCAGGAGTAAACCGGCTGAGCTTCCACCAGGCCCTGGAAAGGCCAGGCTGCAGCCTGCTCCGTCTAACATGGAGGTCAGCCCATTTCTCCTGCTATCTGGTGGTAGCAGCACATCCCCAGCTTTACCAGGTGCCCCACCCCCCCCAGATGCCATGGCCCCATGGCACACCACTGCCTTTCTGCAGGGCATCAGGCAGAGAAACCTGACCTCCTCTCAGCCCAGACTGTAGCACTGTATTCACTGCATGCTAGTCCCAGGCTGCCTTTCCCTGGAGCGTCTGGAGCTGAAGACAGAGCCTGACCGGCAGCATCTGAGCTCAGATCAAATCCTGCATCGTGACATGATACAAACAGACTGAACCCAGCTCCTCCAAGCCCTGGGCCTGGGTGGAAAGAGCTCTCCAGACTCACTCAATTCCCCTTCTCCCCTTTGCGACAGCCGCTCTGAGAAACTCAGCAGAACCCCAGACAGGTTCCCCCTTTGCGAATTACACAGGAACATCAGAGAGGCAGGAGCCGCCTGGCTCCAGGAGTCCAGTCCTGGCTATTGCAGGCTGCCCCATCATACAGTCTTCTTCTGAAACTGATATTGCTCCATCTCCAAGCTAGCTAGGTTCTCTCCCCCCATTGCATCGACTGGGAGGCTGCTCAAGCCATCAAATCCTTAAAAAATGGGCAGGCTCCTGGCAAGGATAACTTGAATGGAGAATTGTTCAAGGTAAATCCTAAATTAGCAGCATCTATCCAGGCCCCTCAATTTACATCAGTCTGGGAAAGGGAAAAAGTGCCAGATGAGTGAACCAATGTGGTTATAATGAAGATACCAAAGAAAGGAATAATAGAAACACAGACTATTAGGGTTGGAAAAAAACCTTGGAGGTCATCTAGTCCAATCCCCCGCTCAAATCAGGACCAACACCACCTAAATCATCCCAGCCAGGGCTTTGTCAAGCTTGACCTTAAAAACCTCTAAGGATGGAGATTGCATCACCTCCCTTGGTAACGCATTTCCTCCACCCTCCTAGTGAAATAGTGTTTCCTAATATCCAACCTAGACCTCCCCCACTGCAGCTTGAGACCATTATTCCTTGTTCTGTCATCTGCCACCACTGAGAAAAGCCAAACTCCATCTTCTTTGGAACCCCCCTTCAGGTAGTTGAAGGCTGCTATCAAATCCCCCCCCCCCCCCCTTCTGCAGACTAAATAAGCCCAGTTCTCTCAGCCTCTCCTCGTAAGTCATGTGCCCCAGCCCCCTAATCCTTTTTTGTTGCCCTCCACTGGACACGCTCCAATTTTTTAACATCCCTCCTGTAGTGGGGGGGGGGGGGGGAACTAAAACTGGACACAGTACTCCAGATGAGGCCTCACCAATGTTGAATAGTGGGGAACAATCATGTCCCTCGATCTGCTGGCAGTGCCCCTACTCATACATCCCAATATGCCATTGGCCTTCTTAGCAACAAGGGCACACTGCTGACTCGTATCTAGCTTCTCATCCACTGTAATCCCCAGGTCCTTTTCTGTAGAACTGCTGCTTAGCCAGTCGGTCCCCAGTCTGTAGCGGTGCATGGGATTCTTCCGTCCTAAGTGCAGGACTCTGCACTTGTCCTTGTTGAACCTCATTAGATTTCTTTTGGCCCAATCCTCCAATTTGTCTAGGTTATTCTGGACCCTTTCCCTACCCTCCAGCATATCTATCTCTCCCTCCATTTTAGTGTCATCTGCGAACTTGCTGAGGGTGCGATTCATCCCGTCATCCAGATCATTAATGAAGATGTTGAACAAAACAAGCCCCAAGACCTACCCCTGGGGCACTCCGCTTGATACTGGCTGCCAACTAGACATGGAGCCATTGATCACTACCCGTTGAGCCCGACAATTTAGCCAGCTTTCTATCCACCTTATAGTCCATTCATCCAGCCCATACTTCTTTAACCTGCTGGCAAGAACACTGTGGGAGAGACGGTATCAAAAGTTTTGCTAAAGTCAAGATATATCACATTCACCGCTTTCCCCATATCCACAGAGCCAGTTGTCTCATCATACTCTCAGTGACTGTAATAACTGTCGTGGTATCACACTTTTATCTGTGCCAAGCAAAGTATTGTATAAGATCATAGTCCGTGTATATCGGGGCAGTTGTTAGAGTTCTCAGAAAAGAGCAAGTTGGTTTTGAGAAAGGGTGTAGATGCACAGACCAGATCTTCACTGTATGAAACATTAACAGAACAGTGCTTAGAATGGCAACAGCAACTCTACATAAATTTCATAGACTTTGAGAAGGCTTTTGATAGCCTTCACAGGACCAGCCTGTGACGGGCTCAGTCACAGAGATTCCCTTGGGACTGTCACCTGATGTGCAGAAATTACCTCTGAGCCCGTTTTCTGTGACCGCTTGGGACTCCAGAACCCTGCCTTGTTGAGCCAGACACGCTAGCCTGCTATAACACAGACCCAGGGTCTGGGCCACCCCCCCAAAGCTGTGGACTGTAACTAAAAACAGCTCAGCAGCTTACCTGTCTTCAGGACCCAGACACCCAGCTCCCAATGGGATCCAAACCCCAAATAAATCTGTTTTGCTCTGTATAAAGCTTATACAGGGTAAATTTGTAAATTGTTTGCCTTCTATATCACTGATAGAGAGAGATGCACAGCTGTTTGCTCCCCCAGGTATTAATCACTTACTCTGGGTTTATTAATAAACAAAAGTGATTTTATTAAGTATAAAAATAGGATTTAATTGGTTTCAAGTAATAGCCACAATGAAGTAAATCTCAAAGCAAAGTAACACAAGTCTAAGCCTAATACTACCTGCAATCAGTTTCTTATTGTATCTCGCCCTCAGAGATGTTCCAATAAGCTTCTTTCCCAGACTAGTATCAGAGGGGTAGCCGTGTTAGTCTGGATCTGTAAAAGCGGCAAAGAGTTCATAGAATCATAGAATATCAGGGCTGGAAGGGACCCCAGAAGGTCATCTAGTCCAACCCCCTGCTCGAAGCAGGACCAATTCCCAGTTAAATCATCCCAGCCAGGGCTTTGTCAAGCCTGACCTTAAAAACCTCTAAGGAAGGAGATTCTACCACCTCCCTAGGTAACGCATTCCAGTGTTTCACCACCCTCTTAGTGAAAAAGTTTTTCCTAATATCCAATCTAAACCTCCCCCACTGACGTATTGGAGCATAAGCTTTTCGTGGGTGGGTATTCATCCATGAAAAGCTTATGCTCCAATACGTCTGTTAGTCTATAAGGTGCCACAGGACTCTTTGCCGCTTTTACAGATCCAGACTCCTTCCTAGTCTGGGCCCAGTTACTTCCCCGGTACAGTCTTTGTTAGATCGGGCAGACATCGCAGGTGGTAAGCAGGGGTTTTCTCATGACTGGCACCCCCTTTGTCCTGCTCCACCCCCTTTTTATAGCTTTGGCACAAGGCAGGAATCTTTTGTCTAAGCTTGTCCCCACCCCCACCTCATCAATGGAAAAGTACAAGGATTAAGATGGATTCCAGTAGCATGTGACATGTCACTGTAAGACCCCTCGTCTACATTCTTCCTGGGTTGGTTCACAGGTACATAGGAAGGTTTGCCGGTAAATAAACCATTTACAACCAGTTGTCCTAGTCAGTGGGAGCCATCAAGATTCTAAACCACCATTAATGGCCCACACTTTGCATAATTACGATAGGACCTCAGAATTATATTTCATATTTCTAGTTTCAGATACAAGAATGATTCAGATACAAGAATGTTTTTTGCATAAAAGATATTCCAGTTACATCATATTCACACTCATAAGCATACTTCTATAAAACACATGGAGCACAATGTCACACAGCCTATGGTGCATTCTGCGGACATATGGACTTCCTTTCCGTATAATCAACATCCTTAAAAGCTTCTATTTCAACTTTATATGCAGTGTTGATCAGTGACCTCAGTTTTGAAGTCAAAACAGGAGTACGTCAGGGGTGTGTCATTGCCATCGTCTGGGTAATGCGGCGTACAACAGAAGACATGCCAAGAGGCATTAAATGGACACTCTTGAAGACCTGGACTTCGCAGATGATGTCGCTCTCCTATCACATACCCAACACCATATACAAGAAAAAACAACTCCACTCAACGCATTCAGCCAGCAAATTGGACTGAAAATCCATCGCAATAAGACAGATATCGTGACCTAGCCTGCTACACCCAGGGTTGTGAGTTCAATCCTTGAGGGGGCCATTTAGGGAACTGGGGCAAAAATTGGGGATTGGTCCTGCTTTGAGCAGGGGGTTGGACTAGATGACCTCCTGAGGTCCCTTCCAACCCTGATATTCTATGATATCTATATCTACCTTTAATATTGCCTCACCATCACCAGTATGGATAGAGAATTATGTTCTCACCAGTGTAGAAACATTCACATACTTGGGCAGCACCATCAGCCAGGACGGTGGAACAAGCCTGGACATCCGGAACAAAATCAAAGCCAGGAACACCTTCAGGAGCTTAAATACGGTCTGGAAATCATCAAAATACAAAACCAAAACCAAACTCAAAATTTATCAGAGCTGCGTACTTTCTCATTCCCCAGCATTCTGCACTATAAAGTTGTGTTGAAAGTATGACATGTCCAAACTCTCTTTTGGCCCAGAACAATCTTAAACCAAGATCTGTTGACACAGTGCAGCTAAGAGGATCTGAGCACCATCATTGCCTGGAGGCGCTTGAGACGAATCCTTCATGTGCTTCGGATGGAAACTGATTCCATCATCAGAGTAACAATAACACGGACACATGAAGGCAAGTGAAACGAGTCCGCCCAAAAAAATATGGCAAAGAGATATGGAAGCAGAGCTGAAAAACCTGGGGCTTAGCTGGGGAACCATTGAAAGACTTGCCAGAAACACAGGAGTGGAGGAGCTTGGTCACTGCCCTAAATGCTAGAGGCGTAATAGGAACATGATGATGATAACATGCTACCAGCGTGATATGGTGGCAGGAGGCCAGTTCTGTGTGTACAGAGGCAGCACGTTGCAGAGTAAGAGGGGGCAAGTTCTTTCTGTCTGCAGCTAGCTAGCTTTGGTGTGGCCCCTATGGGAATGCCACAGGCAGTTTTCTGGGATCCAGGTACAAGGGAGCTCTTGGCAAAATGGCAGAGGAGAGCTAACCAAATGGCACTGCCTACCACCAGGGTGAAGCTGGTCTGTGCAGGAGATGGAACTGTTAGGATATAGATATTTAGGCCTGTCTGTAAAGGCCTATACTCTAAGAATTTAGGGGTATTCTTATCACTTAGCTAGTTATAGAGGTATAAAAGAGAGAATCAAAATCACTGTGTGACTGTATAAGGCCTTTGGCTAAGCAGCAGAGGCATCCATAAGCTGGAAATTGAATGGTCACATCCTCACATTCCAAACTAGTCACACTGAAATAAGGTGCTGTTGGGCTGTTAAGAATACAATCCTGTCCTATCACCTCCAGAGAAAGGGAAGTGCCTAGAAGATGTAAAAGGAAACTTAGTTTGATAGCATCCTGTCTGGCAAGAACTCACTTATCAATAGCTGGGATGTGAAATCCTCACTTTTGTATTGTTTTGTCATTATAGTTCCCACTTCGTTATTGTTTGTCTGTATAATCTCTGTCTGGTTCTGTGATTGTTCCTGTCTGCTGTATAATTAATTTTGCTGGGTGTAAACTAATTAAGGTGGTGGGATATAATTGGTTACATAATCATATTACAATAGGTTAGGATTGGTTAGTTAAATTTCAGGAAAATGATTGGTTAAGGTATAGCTAAGCAGAACTCAAGTTCTACTATATAGTCTGCAGTCAATCAGGAAGTGGGTGGGTTTGTGGGGGGGGAAGTGGGAACAAGGAATGGGGTTGTGGAAATTGGAATCATGTTTTGCTAAGGGGGGTGCGGAATGGGAACAGGGACACAGGCAAGGCTCTGTGGTGTCAGAGCTGGGAAGGGGGACAACTAAGGAAGGAAACTGGAATCATGCTTGCTGGAAGTTCACCCCAATAAACATCGAATTGTTTGCACCTTTGGACTTCAGGTATTGTTGCTCTCTGTTCATGCGAGAAGGACCAGGGAAGTAAGCCAGTGAAGGAATAAGCCCCTAACAGGAACTTCCTCAGGGGCTGGTCCAAGACTGGGGAACTGCCTGCCACATGAACTAGGGACTATCCCAAACCTCCCTACCTCCTGCTTCAAATGCCAGGCATCCTTCTCTGATTGGCCTTCTCCAATATAAACACGGAGCAGAACCCTACCAAAACAAAACCCTCCTGGGAACACCCAGTTCTCCTCTGGGGAGGGAGGGAGAGGATGAACGACACGTGACCATTGTTAGTCGCAGCTCATGCAGGTGCTGTGGTGATGAGGGTGGGATAAGAGCCTGAATAGAACAAAGGTGCATGAGGATATGGAGTGGAGCTGGCCTGTGCTATCACTAATGGCTGATGCTGATGGCTGTTTACCGGCTTGCTGGGCTGCGCGAGAGGGATCAGAACAAAGCTGGGGAGATCATTATATACATTGCAGTCAGAATGAGAGCTGAAAAGGGCCTGCTCAAAGGACAAAGGCAGCTGCACTCCAGCAGCCGGAAGAGAGCTATTAGCTGGGGCTAGTTACTGGAGGTGGAAATGGTTCAATTGTACCTGTCGCGGCGCCGGCGGATGCAGGGAGGAGGGGAAAGTAGTGCCTGCCAGCCCCTTGTGCACAACATCCTGAGCCGTGAGTGAGAACCGAGGGATAGTTCTGGGCCTCTCTCCTCCAAGCTGCCTAGCGTTTGGGAACCTTTGTAAACTCCCATTCCCCTGGCCTTGCTTTGATGGGAACCGCGGATAGCATCACTAGCGGGAGGGTGGGGCCTGGGGACAGTGCCCTAGAGGGAATCCCAGCCCCACTGCTGCCCTGGAAGAGGGAGGGTGCTAGGATTTATGCGGACGCCTGGCAGATCAGCGGCTGATATGTTTGAGCCGCTGGGATGCAGAGCGAATGTTCAGAGAGCTCTGCTGTGTCTGTCCTCCCCCGCAAACAGCCCCGGGTGTAGGGGTATGAAACTGACTGGGTCTGCGATGGTCTCCCTGATTCCCACAGGCTGCCTAATAGCTATGGTGAAACTGGAATCCAGCAGCAGCGTAGCAAAGCCCTGAGCAGCTGTGGAGGTGTTAAGAACTGTCTCTGCAGGCTCAGGAAGATGGCTCTGCCTCAGGATCGGTGTTTGGGATGGGACATCTTTATCACCGTGAGAGCACAACCTGCAAGGCTACAGAAATTCATGGCTCAGGCCCCGGGTTTTCTGGGGAAAGTGTCCCCTCCCCTGCTGGAGAAGGGGGTTTTCAGGCTCTGCCTTAGACATTGATCAGGCCCTGGCTGTGATGATGATCAGAGACCAGTATCATTATCCCCATTTTACAGATGAGGGAAGCTGAGTCATGAGGGGGGGTGCACAGGGTCACCCAGCTGGCGAACACACGAGCTGGGTCTAAAATCCGGGTCTCCCAAGTCCCAGCCAAGCACCGTATCCACTAGGCCACGCGGTACTGGCGATTTCCTGAAAACGTCCCACTGGAGCAGGTTTTAGCGCAGGTTGGCCACTGGCACTTCACCACAGAGCTGCGCAGACCTGCCCCGAGCAGGGGAAATGCAGCTGCAGGCTGCGCTCGTACTCCCGCCATCGGTGCTCCCTTTCGGATGCCTTCAGCAGGGCAGGCAGAGCCTGCATCACGCAGCTCATGACGGGGCTCACAAAGGCCCTGTGACCACGTCCCATCTCCAGTGCGATCATGCCTTGGCAGGGCTGGTGTGGGGGACGCTCACAGAAGAGCAGCAGTTTAGGGAGGCTGATGGCTTCGGGGACAAGAGGGGTGCAGAACGTTGCAGTTAGTTCAGCGAGTCTCCCACGGAAACAGCTCCTGGATCTAGAAATGATGCGCCACCTGCGTGGCGAGCCAGCTGCCTGTGCTCCTTTAACTCACCTTCCGGAGTGGAGCAAGGCTATTGAGAGGGCTGATGCATACGATCAGAGGACAGCTGCTCTCTCCTGAGTGCTGCCAAGGGACCCAAGCCCTGGCTTCCCTTCCCGCAGAGCCTGGTCAGCCTGAGGATTAAGGCTGGAGCTGAGAGAACGGTGCTCTGGAGTTCGAGCAGCAGGATGTTGTTTTCCCCCGTTATTGACGTGGCCGCTCAGGACAATGTGGATGGTTGCTCGGCGCGGGGGACCCTCTTGCACACGCTGCTCGGGTGATTTCCCAGAAGGCCCCTGGAAGGAACAAAGGTGGCTGGTGTAGAGACGATGAAGGTACAATTTGAACTCGAGCCCCTTACCAGGCTGGGTCAAATTGTTCCTCCCATTAGAGTTGCTCCCTGGAGCCAGCCTGTGCTAGCACGAGGACATGCTGTCATTTGGTAGCTCTGCCTGTGCTGATTGCTGGGTCCACCCTGTGTTCCAGCCGGGTGGTGCTCAGGACACCTGGGTTCTATTCCCAGCTTTGCCACCAACCTGCCATGTGACCCTGGGCAAGCCCCTTCCTCGCTCTGTGCCTTAGTTTCCTCTCCTGCCCTTTGGCTGTTTGGGGAGGCACTGTCTCATTGTGTGTAGGTAGAACACCTAGTGTAACGGGACCCTCCATCTGAAGTGGGGACTTGGGGGCTACTAATAGCTGCCTGGTAGGAGACACTCTTTAGCTGATCCTGTCCACGCTGTGAGGGCAGAGGGGTCCTGTGCAGAATGACCCAGGTCAGATATGATAGCGAGAATTCCCGTCATTAGCTGCGTGATGCTACTTTGCTCTCCGCCCCCGACTGACACGTGGTGGTGTTTGTAAAGGCCACAGGATAGCAGAAAAGTCCCCGGTGGGTGCCATGGGGCCAGCAAGTGGTTGCTCCCTAGGCACGTGTACAGGGCTTGGTCCCATGTCCTGGTGCTCAGGTTCCATTTCCATCTCGGCCTTGGGCAGCAACAGCCCCTGTGTTTGATCCCAGAGCAATGAGGGCCATGTAGATACCTAAGAGAGCTGGGACTAGAACAGAACCCAGGAGTCCGGACTCCCAGGCTGGTGTTCATCCCTCTGGAGGCTGCTTTGCGGCCTGCTGGGTCTAAGTGGAAAGTTCTGGATCTGATATGAACCCTGTTGCTCCTTCTCATTGGCGATTTCCTCCTGCTGCTTTGTCTCCTTAGTGTTTTCCCATCGCCCTAGAGCATTCTATGAGCTGGGCTGTGCAGAGCCAGTCATTCCATCTGCTAGGAGCTGAGTTTGCTAGGGCTCAGGTCAGTCCACAGTGGAGAGGGGGTCATGTGGCATGTTCTGTTCTCATCTTTGCAGTATTTCAGCACCTCCCAGTCGTTCACCAAGCTCTGTGACTAACCTCCGTCTTGTGAGGTTCATTCTTTCATCGCTCTCCTTCCGAGGAGAATTGTGTGTGCTGTGGAGGGTTGTTTAACTGTCCACACTGCTCCGTGTTTATATCAGAGAAGGGCACCTGGCACTTGGAGCAGGAAATGGGGAGGTTTGGGATGGTCTCTAGTTCATGTGGCGGGTAGTTCCACTGTCTGGGACTAGCCCCTAGGGAAGCCCTGTCTCTTGCACAGCTTCACCCTCATGGCAGAAAGCGCCCTGGGGCCTGACAAGCTGTGCTGTCGACCATGGTCCCCATCTCGGGGCTTTAGGCTCTGGTAGGCATCCTGGGCAAGGGAGTGCCTTGGAGAGAAGGACCGAGCCCTGGACCTTGACTCGCTTAACCCCCAACCTCTGGGGTGGACAGCAACAGCCTGGAGGAGAGGAGGGGAGATTCAGGCTGATTGGTACCAGTACTCTGCATAGGTGCCCACGCTGTGGGTGCTCTGGGGCTGGAGCACCCATGCAAAAAAATACAGTGGGTGCTCAGCAGCGCTGCCAATCAGCTGTTTGGCGGCTGGGGGAGAGGCTTGGGGGAGGGCAGTGAGCGGCGGCGGGTGAGGACCTTGGGGAAGGGTGGAGTGGGGCGGGAAGAGGCGAGGCATGGGTGGGGCATTGGGGCAGGGCCAGAGTGGGGGTGGGGCTTATGGTACTCTGGGACTTCTGGCGTCCATGCAGAATGGACGGGGTGTCAGGGTAGGGTCTAATCCAGGAGACGCTGTCGGTGGCAAGGAACTCTGTGTCCATAACAGTGATGTTCCTGATTCCTGGTTACAAATCTGCAAAATTCCACAAGTGAACTAGGCGCCTAAAGCCCGTGGCCTGAGGCTCCTGAATGACTTAGGCTCTGTAGTCACAAAGTGCTTTCAAGATGTGTGCCCCTCCTGGTCATGCTGGTCTCTGTGAGCTGGGGGCCTGGCTGGCCCAGAGCGGTGGGACGGGAGGCAGAGAGCTGTGGAGAGGAGTCTGAACCCAGGCAGGGGTGGCAGTGCCTAGGAGGTTTCCCTGCACATGGCTCTTGGCTGGCCTGAGTGAATGCATTGGTGGGGGCAGTTCAGTGGCTCTCAGCAAGAGATCCAGGGAGTCAGGCTTTGGTGGGGCTGAGGCACCAGATCCTCGGCAGCAAGTACAGGCCTAGGCGAGCCAAAACCCGGTGAGCCAGGGTGTTCCTGACAGATGACGGGGCGGCTGGAAGAAGCAGAGGGGCTGGTCGCTAATCCCCGGCCCAGTCCTGTGCCAAGGCCATTAGTGCATTAGCAGCTTCGCTCTTCTGTACACAGCATCTGCGTGGCATGACGCGTGGGCTGGCCTTGGCACCGGCACTTGGCATGCCCCAAGTGCCAGGTGCCCCAGGGACTCGCCAAGAATGAACCCGTTCAGCCGACAGCCTCGGAGTGACACTCTGGAGACCAGCACCAGTGCTCTCTTCCGAACCCTCTCCTTCCTGCACAGCTAGCTGGCGGCTGCTCTCCTTCCCAGAGGTGACTGCATTTTGCCCAGGCAGAGAGTACACGCTGAGATCTTAGTGGCTGTAGAAAGGGATGTGGGGGGATAGCCAATGATTGTGTGTATTCAGGGGCTTCTCTCACGAGAGAGGGGGCCCAAGGGAATTAGACGCTGATCTCTGTGCATTGTGGAGGTGACTTTTGGCAGGGCGGATGTTACCCTGGAACTTGTGGTTAAGTCCCTGTTTTCATGTGTCCCCTCCGGGCTGTGGCGAGAATTGTGCCAGTCCCATGCCCATCTCGGGGTGTCAGAGAGTGCGTCTGCTTCCAGCAGGCGGTGGGGGCCTGGCTGACTCGGGGCAGGACTGGTCATTGATCAGTCAATCTAGGCTAGTAATGATTAGTGAGTTCTGTTCTGTTCTGCTGACAGCACCTTCTCTTGGGAGCTCCCTGGAGATCTGGGGAGCATGGTGAGGGGGCAGCAAATGATGTCATCGGGTGCCTGAATATGGCCAAAATGGATATACTGCATCGCTGTGTGACCTCAGTGAGTCCCCACCCACCCCCTGCCTCAGTTTCCCTATATGGAAAAATGGGTTCTATCTCTTTCTTAGGGGCTGGGTGAGACATTTTCTGAGCGAACCCCCCTTCCCTGTTCTCCAACCTTGTGTTGAGGGATTCAGGCTGAGCTGAAAACTCAGGGAAGGGAATGGGCCCACCGGTCTCTGGCTCCTGCTAGGTTGCATCAGGGTTCCAGGAAGTCCCTCTGGATCCCACTGGAGCACTGAGCATGGCCCCTGCCATCCCAGGTGTGTGTGTGGTGGGGGAAGAGGTTGCAGCTCTGGGACACTCCAGTAGCATCCATGAACCTGTCCATGGAGCATGCAACTGCTGGTCCCTCTCCTCTGCCTAGTGGTGCTGCCCCCACTGTTGGTCTGGGTCTGTTCTGTGACCGATCTCCCACCACTTCTGTGCTGCAGCAACTGGTTGCTGATCGGTGCCTGGGCTTACAGGGCTGAGCCATCTGCCCCCTCCCTGGGACCTTCCCCAGAGGTCTGCATGGTTGCAGGGCCAGGGGGCAGCTTGTTAGATCTTAGCTTCCCATGACTCTGGAAACCATGGCCATAGGCAGTTGCCTGCTGCCTTTATCTCTGCTCTGCCCAGCCACGAGTCACCCCCACGCAGGAAGTGACTTGCCGATACAAACATGGGTTGTGCTGCAAAGATAATTTGTTCCCGGGACGGGTGCAGCTCTATAGCCACAGCCCCAGGCCAGCCCTGCGAGCGCTGGTGGCTCCAGTGCCGAGGCTGCCTCTGCCGTGCTGGCTGCTGGACATAGAAGAGCAAACCCAGTCCTCTCGTCTCCTCAAGTGGGACAGGCCGGAAGCCCAGGCCAGGGGTGGCTGCAGCTCCTTTGGGCTTACACTTGATGAGCATGGCCTCCGCTGCCTTGTGCATGCTGGACTCTGCCGTGTTAGTTGCTATGTGTTAGTCATTGTCTTCTGGCGCGACCCTGACCCGCTGTGAGGGCTGTGTTACTTCAGAAGCCCAACCCACTGCTGAATCTCCAGCCCAGGCTGCAGTGGACGGGGCCTGTGGCTAAATCCAGACCACAGACCTGGGGTTTAAAAGACCCTTGGAAAGTGGATTCAGTTCTGATGTTCCATGGTTGCCCCCAGAACGGGGACCGAGCAAAAGTGGCCCACAGCTCAGGACGGCCGGTGGTGCTAATAACCTTTAGCTCTTCTCTTAGCTTTTCCTCACTAAATCGCACAGTTAGGAGGGCCTGACACCTGGCTTTTCAAGACTTGGGGTGGGCCATACTACCCTGGTTCAAGAGGGGTCTCTGAACAGGAATAGCAGGGGGCTGCGGGTCAGGAGTGAGAGGCATCTGCAGAGCCGTGAGGGGGGGAACCCAGGACCGGAATAGCTGTGGGTCAGGAGTGAGGAGCACTGGCAGAGCTGGGAGTGGGTGGGAGCCCAAGGCTGCGATAGCAGGGGGCTGCGGACAGGAGTGAGGGGCACTGGCAGAGCTGGGAATGGGGGGGGGGGGGAGCAAAGGGCTGGAATAGCAGAAGGCTGCAGACAGGAGTGAGGGGCATCTGCAGAGCCGTGAGGCAGGGATCCCAGGACTGGAATAACTGCGGGTCAGGAGTGAGGCAGAGCCGGTGGGGGACAGACCAGGGCTGGCATAGCAGGGGGCTGTGGACAGGAGTGAGGGGCACTGGCGGAGCTGGGAGTGGGTGGGAGCCCAGGGCTGGGGTAGCAAGGGCTCCAGTCAGTAGTGAGGGGCACTGGCACAGCTGGTGGGGGCAGCCCAGGGCTGGTGTGTGTGTGGGGGGGTGTAGCTGCAGTTCAGGGTCGAAATGCCTGGGTGGAGATGCGTGGAGAAAGCAGGTTTGTGTCTGCCTTCACCATGTCTGGATCCAGTCTGTGCTGCCAGCCCCTTACCGTGCACTCGAGCCCCACGTGCCCCAGTGAACGGGGCGTCCGCATGCCGCAGGTGTAAAGGAACTGCAGGAAAGGCAGGGAGGCCATAGGCATAGCAGGGAGGCCAGCGCGTCCTGGTGCAGAATAGCCCCTGGAGCCTCATTAGGACCGAGCAGCCAAGTCCTGATGGGCTAGAGGTGGGGTAGGGAGAGGCATTGCTTGAGTTATGGGGGAAACATAGTGTGTTGGGCAGTGCACTCACGCACACCAGCTACCGGGAGTGGGAGTGAGAGTGAGAGCACAGGTCAGGGTCTCGGGGCTATTGCCCTACGGGGCCAGCCAGAATCAGGTGCTTCGTAGGGGTAAAACAAACAGATGTATTATGGTAGCACCCAGGAGCCCCAGTCATGGACCAAGGCCCCATTTTGCAAGGCGTTGTACATTATTCATTAGGTGTATTACGGTAGTGCCCAGGAGCACCAGTTGTGGGCCAGGACCCCATTGTGCTAGGTGCTGTACATGATTTATTAGGTGTATTACGGTAGCACCCAGGAGTGCCAGTCATGGGTCAGGGTACCATTGTGCTGAGCACAACAAAAAGATGGTGCTTGGCCCGAAGAGCTGACTATCTAATTGCTTCGCTTGGCCGTGGAAGGTGCCCAGGAGACAGGCCGGCAGTTCCCTGAGCGGGGCATGCCTTGGAGGGGTTCTATGTGCAGGACTCAGGATTTGAAGTCTTTGTCGTGTTGCTGTTCCCCGCATGCAGTAGAGGGTCCCTGGATCCCCTCCAGTCGAGAGGTGCTAGGCAGGATCTGTTCTCTTGCTGCACGGGGCCAGATCCTTAGTTCAGCTGCGCTCGTATCCAGCCTGGCAGAAAGGAAGGGGGATCAGACCCATGGCCCATCTAGCCTGTCACCCCACCACGATTGCTGACTGGGGGCTCTGCTAGGAGCACAATGCTATCTGGCCTGAAAGCAGCCTCTGAGCCACTTCCCCAAGGGGTCCTTCCACCAGCCAGTGGGTCCTGGCTCAGGGCACAGCCATCCTGTCCGAGCCCACCACTAATCCCCGTCTCTTTCCCTCGCAGAGATCCTCAGCGGCGTCATTCGCAGCGTGAAGAAGGAAGGAGAATGGAAGGTAAGCAGGCCGATTCTGCTGCCCTGGGGATATGCTGTATCCATATATCGTGCTCCTCCCCCTCCAGTCTCTTGAGATTCACACCTGAGTTTTTCCAGGCTGGATCAGATCCCTGCTCTGTCTAGCCCATCATCCGTCCCCAGCTAGGCTTGGGTATGTCTGCCTTCCCACTGCGCTGGATCAGACCCAGCTTGTCCAGCTAGCCCCATATCTCCCCAAACACACACCCTGGATCAGACCACTGGGCCCAGTGAGCCCAGTAACTTCCTGCCTCCCCTTTCCCCCTCCTTACACCGGATCAGACCACTTGGCCCAGCAAGCTAGCCTGGGTGGGAGGAGGAGGAGCATGGGGGCAGTATGCACCATTGGGCAGGCAGGTTATTGAGCCCCTGGAGGCTTGGACTCGGCTGGGGTGTGTGGAGCACGGGGCGAGGCCGGTACAGCAGGGGGAGCACAGGGAACTAGCTTGCCCAGTGGCCAGATCTGGTGCAGTGGGATGCTGGGCTGTGTGGAGCAGTGGGGTCATTTGGCATGGCAGGAAGGTGGTGGAGATGTTGGGCCAATGGCCTACAGGGCTTTCCGAGGGGAACATGGAGACTCCCCTGGTTCCATTTCTCCTTGCCCTGATCCTGTTCTGCCCGAGGGCAGGGGAGCAGGTATCTGGTGGATCAGAGCAGGAGACTGGGAGCTAGGACTCCTGGGTTCTGTCCCTGCCTCTTGCACTCACCCTGTCACCTGGGCGAAGAGGCTGATCTCCAGTCTAGGAGGATGGAACCATTCTGAATGGCCGGGTGTCCCAGGTTTGTCTCCTACATCTCGTCCCAGCCACTCTGCTCGGAGCCACTCTCTCTGTAGCTCCTCACGCAGTCCTTAGCACGGTCAGCTCAGCAAAGTGCAGGCTTGGTACCGGCCCTGCTGCTCTGCTGTAGAAGGGCTGGGCCGGGAGCTGTCAGCTCTGCCGTTAGCAGTCGCTCTGCTCCCTTGGCTGTGCCGCGGATGATGATGGTGGGCGGCTGTGCTCAGGGCAGTGACTAGCTCATCTGAAGTGGTGCGCTCCCCTCTCACTGCCCCAGGTGCTGATTATGGACCACCCTAGCATGCGCATCCTCTCGTCGTGCTGCAAGATGTCCGACATCCTGGCTGAAGGCATCACGAGTGAGTGGCCCTTCCCTCCCATCTGCTCCCCCTACCAGGGCTCCCCTCCCCTTGCATACACTTCGCACTCGGGGAGTTGACTTGTCTACATTCACGTTTGCATCTAGTTTCCCTCCTTTGCAGCCTCCTAGACGCCCTCCTTGCTATTGGTACCTTCCCAGCCAGGTCTAGTTCCCTTAGCCCGGCACTTTCAGCCCGTGGAGCCTCTTCACCGCTTTTCTCAGACTCCCGTTAACTCCTCACTGCTCCTCCCCCATGCTGTGGGCAGGGTCCTGGCTGGGGAGGGGGAATGCTGGCTCCCTGCTCCAGGGTGGAGGAGCCCTGGGGTTGAGGGGCACAGAGCTGAGCCAGCACTCTAGCGGGGTGCCCCCAGCACAGTACAGAGGGACGTTCCCTCGCTGCTCCGTACTGTGGCAGCATCGCAGCCCACGGCCCCACATCAAAGCAGCTGCTGCATTGTAGCCTGTGGAACGCCCCGGCCTGCTGCCAGCGAACATCACTGTGCCCCTTGGCTTCCTCTCCCCCCATCCCAGTGGAGAGCGGCTGGGATGGGTGGCTAGGACACACTGACCCGCTCCCAGTGTCTGCTCTCTCCTAGTTGTGGAAGATATTAACAAACGCCGGGAGCCAATCCCCAGCCTGGAGGCCATCTACCTGCTCAGCCCAGTGGAGAAGGTAGGAGCTCGGGCCTGGGGCAGCTGGATGGGGAGCAGGGGAGACCCCGGGGACAGCTCCTAGTGCTGCCTGGAGGTGGCGCTGTCCAGGGGGATGTGCAGCACAACGTCAGGATGGGAATGGGGCTAGTCAGGGCTCCCCAGGAAGCTGCTTCCCCGGAGCTGGGCTTTATGTTCTTTGCCACGTGAGGCACAGACTGTCCCCCAGACCTCTCCGCAGTGCAATCCTGTGGGGGTTGGATGGGCAGGTGCAGCAGGCGGAGAGAGGCGACCTCAGCTGAGACTCAAAGCGAAGGAGACTCGCTGAGGCAGAGGCTCAGGGAGCAGGGGCTGTTGGGGAGGAGGCTCCTGCATCTGCAGCAGCAAGGTGAGTGGAGGGAGACCAGGGGCAGGGGGCGCTGGCAGAGCAGGGTGAAGCCCAGAACCCGCAGGGGCTGCCCGCGGAGGGAGCGCTGTAGGAGAGGACTGCGAGCTGGGGCCTGGGGCTTGGGACAGGACAGCCAGGTTCTCACCTGTCACAATGGCCGGTCGAGGGGTCTGAACAGGTTCCAAACACCCTGCCAAGCTAGCTGGCGTGGCGAAGCTGCAGATGCCCAGCCTGGCGCCCGGGGAGGGAGAGGGCCCTGATGGCAGCTGCCTGGGATTGCTGCTCGGCCGGCTGTTCCCTGGGCGCTGCTCAGAGCCCACTTAGTTCAGCAGCAAGGCAATGCCAGGCCCCATCTGTGGCCGGGCACGGACACTTGTGTGCCAGCAAGAGATGTGGCTGGGCCCCTGAGGATGTCCCGGGCACATGGGCACAAGCCCTGCTCCAGGTGGGGAGGGAGCCCAGAGCCAGGGGGGTGAAAACCAGCCCACCTCCCGATGGCATCGTGCTGGGTCCTGAGTCCCCAGGTGCTGGGGATGGGATGGGACCTTCGGGCAGCAGGGAGGGGCCTCGACTGATGCTGACAACCCCCCTCTTTCCTCTTTGCAGTCGGTGCAGGCTCTGATCGGTGACTTCCAGGGCACCCCCACCTTCACCTACAAGGCAGCTCACGTCTTCTTCATCGACAGTGAGTATCAGGGGTCGGGGGATCCCCAAGCTGGGAGCCTGGCCAGCGGTTCACTGGAGCCTGGGGGTGGGGGTCTCTCTCTGCCGGCAGGCCAGTGCGCAGCCCCCTGATTTCGCTCTGCCCTCCTGCAGGGGGATGCAGCCCCAGCAGGCCAGACCAAACGACCCCACCTATTCCTTCCCCCACTTTCTCCTCCATGGGCCTGCCTCCAGCCAGCACGGCTCACAGACATCTGCAGAGTGCGCACAGAAAGGCGGCCTCTGGCTACCATTCCCAGCATGCATTGCTCCATCAGTCCCAACTCGGGTGGGGGGATGGGACACCACCAGAATACCCAGTGTGTCAGGGTCATATCTGCTTCTCCCCATTACAGTGGCAGGGGGAGCCCAAGTCCCCGTTTCTCCTTGTGCATCATCCTGAGTTGTAGACTCCAGTTACTCAGCCCTGCGGGGGGGCTGAGGACAGGGTGTGAGACAGGAGGGGCTGTGTCGGAGAGATTGTGGCTCCCCCTCACTGCTGATGCTGCAGAAGGCAAGAACCTGGCATGACTCTGGTTCGGGGGGGCTGGATTCATCGTTGACTCCTGTGTGGCCCTGCTGGCTTGCCCAGGTTCCCCACAGGCGTGCAGCACTACTGCCCCTGCTATGCCCGGTCTGGCCCCGTCCGTGGGGGCTGGCGCTGTGCTGGGGGTCCTGAGCCCTGTGCCTGTCACTCCCACCCACTGCCTCTGCCTTGCAGCCTGTCCTGAGCCTCTGTTCAACGAGCTGAGCAAGTCACGGATCATCAAGGCCATCAAAACCCTCAAGGAGATCAACATGGCCTTCCTGCCCTACGAGAGCCAGGTGAGGCATGGCTGGGTTTTGGAGGAGCAGCGACACCCCATCCTTAGTGTTCCATGTGGCTCCGGGGCGGGGTGGGGGGGAACCTTTCCCTTCTAGGGCCCCGGTTTTGACGCCAGCACAGGGCAGCAGGAACTAGCTGGCTGCTCACACCCTGTGAGACGTGGAATCGCTGGCTTGCACCTGGTGGGGATGGTAGATGTATGGGGGAGGAGGGTCCTGCCTCTTTGGCTTTACCAGCTCTTACTGATGGTTTATACCAGGCCTGCAAGACACAGGCCGATACTCCACACGCCTGCCCTTTGCCCAACCACCCCATCCCCTCCTTGTGTTGTCAGTGGATTTCCCCCCTCACGCTCCTGAGGGGCAGGGCTGTGTTGTCAGCCCCATTGCATTGATGGGGAAACTGAGGCACAGAGAGACATGAGCCTGGTCTACACACACAAGCTTTGTTGGTATGGGTTTGTTACGGGGACATGAGAGAAAAAATCCCCCCTGCAACTGATGCAGCTGTGGTGGCAGAGCCCCTGGGTAGGTGCCGTTATGCTGGCAAAGCAGTCCTTTCGCCACTCTAGCTGATTTCATCTGGGGTACCGGTGCCAGCTGTGCCAAGAGAAGCTTTGGCTGGTAGAAGCTGAGTGTCCGTCAGGAGGCTTTGCTGGCTCACCCGTCCCGTTGCGCCAGCAAACCCTTTGATGGGCCGATACTATTTATTGGTGTCCAAGCACGTTTGCCCCAGTGGCTCGTTCTGTTCGGCCAGTGAAATAAGCGACAGCGGCAGACGTGCCTTGATGCCGGGTTTGCCCGTGGCTATGCTGGGGCTTTCGCCAGACTAGAAGCGTCGTCAAGCCCCCTCCCACAACATTGACTTCTCCAGGGCAGAGACACACCCCTGAGGGCACCCGGGAGTCTGCAGCCACGTAAGGACCTGAACCTGGGGCATCTTCATCCCAGGCTGGTGCATGAATCTCTGGTTCGCTATCCCTCTACCACAACAGGAGTGGCACTGGCAAAAGGATCTTTCCCTCACTAGGGGCTTGCTACGGCTCCGCCAGGCTGGCCTGGTCAATTGCCCATCTTAAGGGCGTGGTGTGAGGCACAGCTGGCCTGGCTGCCAGCAGGTGGCACCAGCCCAGTCTTGACCACTGAGCAAGTGAAGGGCACTACTATGGGGGATGGCATGCCTGGCAGGGCTAGTGCCATGGGGAGGAGGGTCAGAGCTGTGCCATCATTCGGGGGCAGTCAGGCCAGGAAGAGCATATCTGGGGTGAAGGCTGCTTTTCGCTGCCCATGGTCCCTCCCTGGCACCCCAGGCCCTGGAGGTTATGGGGTAAGTTAGCTGGAGTGTGGGGGGAACGCAAGGTGCCAGGGTCTGATCTCTGCCTCACCCCCAAACCTGCAGGTGTACTCCCTGGACGGGCCCCAGACCTTCCACAACTGCTTCAGCCCCTTCCGCTCCTTGGACAAGAACAAGCAGATGGAGATGCTGGCAGAGCAGATTGCCACATTGTGTGAAACCCTGAAGGAGTATCCAGCCATCCGCTACAGGAAGTGAGTGTGCCCAGGGGGAGGGAAGGGTACCTGGCCATCTGCTACAGGAGGTGAGTGTGCCCAAGGGGAGGGGTTACCTGGCCATCCCCTACAGAAAGTGAGAAGGGGTACCTAGCTATCCCCTATAGGAAGTGAGTGTGCCATGGGGAGGTACCTAGGTATACCCTATTGGAAGTGTGTGTGCCCAGAGGGAGGGGGTACCTGGTCATCCCTTACTGGAAGTGCAGGTGCCCCTGCGGGAGAGGCTGTTTCTCACCCTTAGGGTTGGTCTTTGCTGCAGGGGCCATGAAGATAACTTCCACCTGGCACACGCTGTGCTGGCCAAACTCAACGCATTCAAGGCAGACAACCCCAGCATGGGCGAGGTGAGCAAGCTGTGCCGGCCACACCCCTGGGGGTGGGGAGAGCGCATGAGAAGTAGAAGGAAGGAGGAGTGATTTAGAACGTCCTTGGAGATCCTGGCAGGGGGAAGGGTGGGGATCTAGACCTCCGTTGGAGATCCTGAGGGGCTGGCAGAACAATAGCATTCCCTGTGTGGCTGGACTAATGGCCCCAGCCCTTCTCTAATGCTGGCCATGAGCACATCTCAAAGTGCTCTACAAAGGCCAGTGTCATTATCCTCTCGGTACAGATGGGGAAACTGAGGCACCAAACGGGGAAGTGTGTGCCCAGCACAGTCTCTCTTTGTTTATAAACAGGGCAGTTCAATCACAGAACTAAGCTTTGCACACAGAGCTTCTTCCACACCTGGACACTCCTGTCTGTGTGTGCTCCTACACCCATCACCATGGTATCGGAACCTCACTAATGAATTCAGCCTCCCAGGGGAGGCAGGTTGGCCTGTGTTACAGATGGGGAAACTGAGGCACACAGGGAGTCTGTCAGAACCCAGCTCTCCCAAGCCTTAGCCATAGTCAGCCCTCACCTTAGGCTTCCCCCAGCTCCTGCCATCCCTGTCCCACCCCCAGCAGAAGGGAGCTGCAAACACGCCCTTCCCTGGATTCTCACATGGGAAACACAGTAGCTCCTGCCCCCCCTAGGAGAAGCAAAGTGATATAAAATCCAAGGCTTGCCCAGATCTCTCCATCCTGTTGCCTCTGCTCTTGCCTCCAGCCTTTGCCGAGCTGCTGGGAGACTGTGCACCTGTGACCAACTGGGAATGTTTGTAATATCTTTTATGAATCTGATGCGTGCCTCCATTTCCCTATATATTTCATGGCTTCTCTGGCAGGGGTGGAGGGGAAGGTAAGAGTCATGCCGGGGGTGGAGGGTGTCACCTCCCTGTCTTGGTGAAATGAAGAGATTCCAACCCAGATCAGCCTGGGGGCCAGAAAGACCGTGGCGGCTCCAATGGCTCCTGGCTGGATGCTCCCAGCAGGGAATTGGAGCAGGGCCCCTAGCTCGAGAACACAGGGTTGGGAAGGTTTGAGCTGGGGGATAAGTGGGGGAAGCTGGGAGCTCTCGCCTGAGAACTGACCAAGATCAGGCCGAGGCCTGGTCTACATGAGGAATTGGGTCCGTGCAACTGCGTGGCTTGGGGGTATGGGAAAGGCATCGCCACTGAAGCAGTGCAGCTGCTGTAGTTTTGAGTGGAGCCTGGCACACACCTGGCTGCCCAAACCATCTACACAGGGAAGGGATTGACAGCATGCTTGTTAACCACTGGAGCTCCAGCCTCCAGCCCCCGTCTGCCTTCCTCACCTGCGATTAGTAAAGATCAAAGTCCTGCTCTGTGCACACCCTGCTGCTGTTACTCCCGTGAGTCCCCCCAGGGATATTCCTGAGGCTCTTGCCAAGCCTCCCTGTCACAGGTGAAAGCACTATCCCCATGTTACACGGGGGAAACTGAGGCATGGAGCAGCGTGCCAGGAGTAGGTGGCAGAGGCAGGAATAGGAGCCAGGAGTCCTGCCTGCCCAGCCCCCTTCAATAGAATCCAGACAGCACGCCCACTGCAGGGCTGGGGGTGCTGACTCAAGCCCCTGCTCTCAATGCAATGCTGGCTCCATGCAGCACAATCCCGGCTGGCCAGTCCAATGTGCCCCTGCCTTGCCAGCTGGCGCAGAAAGAACCCCAGGGTCTCTTGTAGCATGGCCTCTAGCAGTCAGGTCTCCAAAGCCACCCAGCCCGCGGTCCCGGCACCCTGGGGCCTTGTCTGCGCTAGTCCCTCTTGCCTTGATGTTTCCCAGCTGCCAGCCCTGAGGGGTAGCTGGGACAGGCAGTGCTGTGGCACCCACCAGTGCACTAACCACCCCTCTGCTCTGGGCAGGGTGGGGTGACCCGGTGGTTACGCCAGCCCCCATCTGCACTCGGGGATCCCTCCAGCAGAGCCGAACTGGCAAAGGTGTGAGCAGAGTCCCTTGGGGGGTGGGGGTGGGGGCTGGGCATAGCAACCCATCCAGGCTGGGTAGGGCTAGAGGGGAATGATGGCGCCAGCTCTGGGTTCATGTCCCTGCTCTGCCACAGACTCCCTGTGTGACCTTGGGTGAGTCACCCAGCCCCTCTGGGCCTCCGTCCCCCTCTGCAATGGGGTGACAGCCCTGCCCAGCCCCACGTGCATGGGGGGGCAGGATGCAGCAATGATAGTGCTACAGGGGTGGCGGCCAGATACTCCTCCAAGAGAGGCGCTCCCCCGTCAGCCTCAACCCATTTACCCAGAGGCTGTGGAGACCTGCCAGGCGGGTGGGTGGTGGCCGGTCCGACGTTCTGCTCCCGAGCGTGGCTGAAAATCGGGCCACGTACTGAGGTGGGACAGTTGGGGTAGCATCAGGGGCTGTACGTCCCCACCCCACCCACCCCCGACTGTCTGTGCTACCCAGCGAAGAGCAGACGCAGCCCCTTGCCGAGGTGCTCCTGGGTGGGCTTGGGTTCCACTGGGGCTGCTGGAGCCGGTTTCAGAGCCGTCTGCCATGAGAGCGCAGGGCTGGTCTCCTATCGCCACCTGCTGCGCAAAGAGGGCAGTGCATGCTGATCAGGCAGGAAGCGGGGGCTGGGCCAGCCCCCCCATGATGTGGGTCTGAGATGCTGACCATTTGAGTGGTCTCTGTCCCACTGGATGCTGGGGGACCACACAGGCTGGGACTGGGGAGCTAGAGCTTCATATGGGGTCCCAGCTCAGATGCAAGGTGGGGCATAGGGATAATGTCCTGTCGTCCCCCTCTGGGACCTTGTATCAAAGAGTCTCTGGGCCTGGTGTTGGTTCATGATAGACTAGCCAGGCCCTTCTGGTGTCTGGTCCTCCCGTCCCCACACAGCATATGGGGCAGGGGGCAGTCGGGGGGCTGCCTTGTAAGGGGCATGCTCCCGTTGGTGGAGAGGCACGAGCAGAGAGCGTGCTTGGGGGAGGGGGGCATTGCTATTTGCACGAGGGGCAGATAACCCATCCCTGCAGGGGGCGTTGCAGTGCAGCTGGTCAGGGCGGGACCCCAGGGCACGTCCCAGCTAGCTTGGGGGGGTGTCTCTTGGCTTCCCCCTGGGGTTGGGGGTTGGCCACAGAGAGGGCAGGTGGTGATGTTTCAGGCCACCAGGGCCCATTGGATTGTGCCATGTAAGCCAGGCCAGGAACCCTCCGCCAGAGCAGGGCGTGACGGGTTTCTCTCTCCTTTGCCCCAGGGCCCCGACAAAGCCCGTTCTCAGCTGCTAATCGTGGACCGAAGCTTCGACCTGGTGTCCCCGCTGCTGCACGAGCTCACCTACCAGGCCATGGCCTACGACCTGCTCAGCATCGAGAAAGACACCTACAAGTAGGGCCTGGCTGCCAGCAGTGGGCGCCCCGCATCCCTCCTCAGGCGGGCTGGGGGGGATGTGACCCAGGCACCCGCACTGCTCCACAGACCTCACACTGGGGGGAGGGGTGCCGCAGCCTGACCCCATCTCCCCCCTGCAGGTACGAGACGACGGGCATCAGCGACTCGCGGGAGAAAGTGGCGCTGCTGGACGAAGACGACGAACTCTGGGTGCAGCTACGCCACATGCACATCGCTGACGTCTCCAAGTGAGCGCGCTCGGCCCCGCTCATGGACACACCCCTCTGTCCCCCACCCAGGGCCGGGACCTTTGGACATGCCCCTCCATGCCCTGCCTAGTGCCGGGACCCGCTACGCACCCTCCCCCCTTTCGGCACACCTCTCCCCTCCCTGCCCACTGGTGGGACCTTCTATCCCCACTTTGGCACAGCCCTCCCCACCCGCTGCCAGGACCTCCCCCCTTGGACACACCTCTCCTACTCAGTGCCAGGACCCTCTACCCCGTTGATACACCCCTCCCCCTCTTTTCCAGTGCTGGGACTTCCCTGTCCTCCCCTTCAGACACACCCTTCCCCACCCTGGGGCTCCCTCGGACACACCACTCCCCCTTGGATACACTCCTCTCTCACCCCGTGCAGGGACACCCCCCCCGCAACACACCCCTCTCCTGCTCAGTGCCAGGACTCCCCCTCCCCCTCCCACCCAGTGCTGGGGCTTGTCCCTCAGACGTACTCCTCTCTGGCTGCTGAGAGCCCCTGGACTCAGCCCCTCTCCCCAAAGGACCCCTGAGTGCTCCCTTCCAGAGCCACTGTCCACATCTCCTCTCGGGGATCCCCCTGGACACTGTCTTCCCCTGATCCCGGGGTCTCCCCATGCACCTCACAGCCCCTTGAGTGAGTCCCTCACAGACCTGCTGGGGCTGCCACTGCCCCCAGGCCCCCCCCAGCAGGGCGCCGGGAGCCCCCAGAGGTGCACTGAACTGTCTGCCTTGGGATAATCTCCTTCCTTAGAGGTTTTTAAGGTCAGGCTTGACAAAGCCCTGGCTGGGATGATTTAACTGGGAATTGGTCCTGCTTCGAGCAGGGGGTTGGACTAGATGACCTTCTGGGGTCCCTTCCAACCCTGATATTCTATGATTCTATGATTCTATAACTTGGGAAGAGGCACCCCCCCGCACCCCATGCCCCACCTGAGGCTCTCGAGGCAGAGAACCCTGGTGCCCGTGGGGCGGGGGCTCCATCCCCTGTAGCATAGGACAGGGTACCCCCTACCTCCAAGGCAGTGCCTGGCTCTGGCCTGACCCCTCTCCCTGCTGCAGGAAGGTGACGGAGCTGCTGCGCACCTTCTGTGAGAGCAAGAGGCTGACCACGGACAAGGTGCGGAGGAGGCTGGGGGGAGCGATTGGGGAGTTCAGGCAGGAGGGACGGGGGGACCCATCCCACTGCCACTGATGGGGAGGGGAGGCTGCCCTGCTGCCCCAGGAGGGGTTGGTGGGGGGGGGGGGGGGTTGCCTGTAAAGGGCTAAGAGGTGTATGTGGAGCCCCCTGCCCCCCAGCCAGAGCTCTGGAGCTCCCCACATGGGGCAGGGTCAGACAGCAGGATCGGGTCCGCGCAGGGCGAGCTGCAGGGAGCCAACGCTGGCATCTCCCCGGCCCGCTGTCACTTTACACCTTGAGGGGCGCTCGGGTTGCAGGGCTCCCATCTCGTTCCAGCTGGCTTGGGAAGGGCAGGTCTAACCCAAGCTGCAGCCGCATGTGGCCTGAGTGACCCGCCCTGGCACGCGTGGCTGGGCTGCTGCAGCTGTCCCCAGGTGAGGCCTCTGCCCTGCAGGGGGCTCCGTGCGCTGGGAGGGGCTGGGATCTCACCACCGCCTCCCTCCAGGCCAACATCAAGGACCTGTCCCAGATCCTGAAGAAGATGCCCCAGTATCAGAAGGAGCTGAACAAGGTAACGGGGCTGGGGCTTTTAGTGGGCGGGGGCAGGGCATTCAGTGGGGCTGATGGGGGTGCAGGGTGTTCTGTGGGGCTGGTGAGGGACAGTAGGGACTCTCCTGGGGGGCAGGGGACTCTGGGGGGCTCTGTGCAGGTCTAGGCAGGAGCCCTGCCCCAGTGATGGGACTGCCTTACTGCCTGATGACAGCTGCTGACCTGTCCCTCCAGCTGCCCCACTCCACCCCACCCCAGAGGTGGCTGCACGTCAGTGCTGGGCAAAACAATCCCTATATACTCTGCTTCTACAGCCTATTGGGGTTGCCCCTCTAGCTGAGGGGTTCTCCTTGGGGACTGGGGGGGGTGTGGGTGCTCTGGACCAGCTGGTGATGCAGTAAACTCCCCCCATGCCCTGGTCTCTCCCCGCAGTACTCCACGCACCTGAACCTGGCGGAGCACTGCATGCGGCACTTCAAAGGGACGGTGGAGAAGCTGTGCAGCGTGGAGCAGGTGGGTCTGTGGGCAGAGCCTGGCTGGGGGGCAGAGTCTGGCTCATGGACTCAGCCTGGAGAGAGGGGTCTCAGACCCGCAGATTCGCTGGAGCCAGGGCCAGCCCCCCCCCCTCCCCCCCCATGCAGCAACATGGGTGTAGAAGGGTGACATGCGGCTCGGGTTACTCCCTGGGGGCCCGTTGCTCCCATCCTGCTGCGGGGGCGGGAGGAAGCAGAGTGGCCTGACCTGGGCCTTGTGTGTGCGCCCCCTCCCCCCACAGGACCTGGCCATGGGAACGGACGTGGACGGGGAGAAGATCAAGGACCCCATGAAGATCATCGTGCCCGTCCTGCTGGACCCCAGCGTGCAGGCCTACGACAAGATCCGCATCATCCTGCTCTACATCTTCCTGAAGAATGGTAACGCCACAGGCCTGCAGGGGGAGCGCTGGGGGGCCTGCTGCTGCAAGGGGTGCTCCTAGAGGCAGGGCCCAGGCCTATGGGGCTGGGGGGGAATAGCAATGCTCAGACTGGCATGCCCCCCAGCCATGTAGGGCACCTCCCAGCCAGCCACTTCCCAGGGCCTGTGTCCAGCTTGGCTCTATGGCCCTGTCTCCCCTCTGCCCACCTCTCGGTGCCTGCGAACCTGCCAGTGCGCTGTGCCCACGCTCCGCACTGTCCCCTGGGCTCGGACCTGGCGGCCTTTGCTCCCTGCTGCTGCCTTCCGAGCAGTGTCCGCCCTCCACGTTCCCCCAAGCCCGTTCTCTGCAGGGACGGGAAATGGAGACACACACCCAGAGCGGCCCCCCAGCCTGTTCTCTGCAGGGAGGGGGGATGGAGACACACACCCGGACCTTCTCTGCGGGAGGGGGATGGAGACACACACCCGGAGCGGCCCCCCGGCCCGTTCTCTGCAGGGAGGGGGATGGAGACACACACCCGGAGCGGCCCCCCGGCCCGTTCTCTGCAGGGAGGGGGATGGAGACACACACCCGGAGCGGCCCCCCGGCCCGTTCTCTGCAGGGAGGGGGATGGAGACACACACCCGGAGCGGCCCCCCGGCCCGTTCTCTGCAGGGAGGGGGATGGAGACACACACCCGGAGCGGCCCCCCGGCCCGTTCTCTGCAGGGAGGGGAAATGGAGACACACACCCGGAGCGGCCCCCCTGCCCGTTCTCTGCAGGGAGGGGGGATGGAGACACACACCCGGAGCGGCCCCCCTGCCCGTTCTCTGCAGGGAGGGGGGATGGAGACACACACCCGGAGCGGCCCCCCGGCCCGTTCTCTGCAGGGAGGGGGGATGGAGACACACACCCGGAGCGGCCCCCCTGCCCGTTCTCTGCAGGGAGGGGGGATGGAGACACACACCCGGAGCGGCCCCCCGGCCCGTTCTCTGCAGGGAGGAGGGACATCTCTCTCCTCCTGCAGGCTGTTCAGATGCCATGTTCTGTCTCTGAGCCTCCTGCGACCAGTCCCCTGCCCACCCCTTGTGTCATCCCTGCAGCAGCTCCCTGCTTCTTGCTGCATCCAGCCCCTTCCCCAAACTCACCAGGGCCTGGGGAACCTCCCTGACCCTGACACTTGGCACAGTCCCTCTTCCCCCATCCGTTCCTGCCCCATGCTGGCTTGGTGGGGCAGGGCCCTGCTCCGGGGCCCTTCCTGTAACCCTGCTCAGGCACTGCCCCCGGGGCCCATTGCCCAGGCCAGGGTGCCCTCATGTGGCTCCTCTGGCTGCCCGGCTGCCCGGTTTCCTGGCCAGGGGGTGCTGTGGAGTTGCCAGGCCTCCCCGTCTGCACTAAGCAGCAGTAAATGGTTTGGGGGGGCGGGAGGGGGAGGGAGCGTGTTGCACCTGACTGGCCGCAGGAGGGAGAGCCCACTGCACTGTCAGGGGGAGTTAGAGAGACCCCCTCCGCCAGCGCCCGAGGGAACCTGTGGAGGGAGGAGCAGCAAGAACCAAAATTCGATCATTAACTGCGTGGGGTCCAGTGGGTTAGCGCGGATGGTGCTGAGAGCCAGGACTCCTGGGTTTACCCCCAGCTGTGAGAGGGGTGGGAAGAGCAGGATCTCAGGATCTGATCGGGGAACTAGGACTCCTGGGGCCACGGACTCGTGAGCCTGGGCTGTGGGTGCGTCCCAGGGGTGCTAGAGCTGACCTGTCTGTCCCCGTGCAGGTGTGAGCGAGGAGAACCTCACCAAGCTGATCCAGCATGCCAACATCCAGCAGCAGAGAGACATCATCCACAACATACAGCTCCTGGGCATTTCTCTCACGCCTGGGGTAAGGGACTGGGGCCAGCAGCTGTACCCATGCCAGGGGGCAGATCTGTGCTGCACAGGGGAGCCCAGGCCATCCTGGAGGTGCCCCCCTATGGCAGTGACCTACTCCCAGCACAGAGGTGGCCTCTGTCCCTGTACAGTGGGGTGACGCCCTCCCCTTTTGAGGGTGACCCCCGAGTTATTCCCCATCTGGGGTGACTTCTTTTGCCCCTGCAGAGGACTCTGGGGATCAGGACCTCAGATCGCCAGGGAGCTGGAGCTGGTGACCACTGCATGGGGCGCCCATGTGGCGAATGGGGGGAAGCAGCTCTGTTCTCCTGTCAGTCTCTCTTCACTCCTCTCTCTCTCTCTCTCTCTCTCCTCCCCCCCTCTCTGAGTGATCCATTCTGTTCTTTTCTCTGCCTCTCCCCTGCCAGCCCGGCTGGAGCGACTCAGGTAGGCCACGCTCTCCCTGTCTGCCCCCGTTCCCACCCCGCACCTCCTCCCTGCTGCCTCTCACCCCCTCTCCCTTCCTCCCCCAGAGCGGGCAGCTGCGACCGGAGAGGAAGGTGCGGCTGGAATCCACCTACCAGCTCTCCCGCTGGACCCCCATGCTCAAGGACATCATGGAGGTACCGGGCCATCTGCTTCCTGGCCTTGGGGGTGGGGTTGCAACCGGCAGGCTGGGCCCAAGGGGGAGGGGTCGGTTTGGGGTCAACCATATGTAGAGCCCTGCATATCTGCTCCCCGTTTCTGCCGATAGTGGATCGGCTGCAGATACAACCGTGCAGGGCTCTACTCCCCAGCAGCGCCTGGCCCGTGGCGTCCAGCTCAGGCAGCCTGGGGCACGCAGCGCACTCAGGGCCGTTGGTCCGCAGCCAGTGGCTGGGTGACAGGTCGGAGTCGGGGCTGTCCAGCACCCACTTGCTCCGCCGCGCGGCTTCCTGTCCAGCAGCTCGAGCAGCACCAGTGTCCCCACCAGCTCCTGGGCAGCAGGATTTGGGATTGGAGCGGGCGGGGCCCCGGCGCCCCACCCCTCCACCCCACTGTGATGCAACATGCTCTGCTGCTGCCGTGTACGCTCGTGACCTCTCAGGAGCGGCACCTGACGAGACACCCCTTCCCCCAAGCCCCCGCCCCCTCCACACTGCCCCTTCTCCTCGAGACCCCGCCCCCTCCACGCTGCTCCTTCCCTGCAAGACCCCTTCCCCACCCTCGTTAGCTGCTGCCGGTGAGGATGCGGATACGGGTAAAAGGCAGCTTGTAGATCGCGGGCTGATGCACATCCACACTTTTTTGTATCTGTGCAGGGCTCTAGCCATGTGAGGGGCTCATCAGCGAGTCCTCTCCTGCTGCCATCCTTAGGAGTCTTCAATCATAGACACGAGTGCAGGGGAGTTGTCTTACCCGGTGCTGAGATGCTGCCACCTCTGGGGTTGGGCACGGGCGGTTTATACAGGGGTCCCTCACCGGGGCTGAATTCTTCCTAAGGAGTGGCAGGCAGCTATTAACAGCCGCCCAGCAGCGCTGCCCAAGAGTCTAGGGCAGGAGATGATCAGTGTGTGGGGCTGGAAGTGCAGGGGATCCAGGCAGCACACTGTCGTGACTGGCACTGGAATCTGAATGGCTGCAAGGTCCTTGATCTAACCTCCAGTGAGGAGCAGCTGTGTGACGCTCATCTAAAGGATGAACTCCTGCAGCACAGTACTGGTCACGCCCCCTGCAGACCCCCCCCCCCCCAACTCACTCCCTGCAGTACAGCACCCCCTAGCGCCGCACTGGGGTCATAGAGCACCCTCTGCCGACTCACTCGCACCCCCCAGCACCCAGTGGCTTTTCCTTAGAGGTCTCCTATCCAAGCACTGCCTGGGCCCAAACCTGCTTAGCTTGTGAGAGGTGACATAGTCACTCCTTCCCCCCACCTTTGCTGGGGGCTGAGCCCCTCATCACCCTGTCCTGTGGGGCACTCCTCAAGGGGGTGGGGGGCACACTTAGTTGCCTTCAACCTACTGGCTTGGGGCTCCTCCAGACCAAGAATTAACCCCCCCGCCCGAGCTCCTGTCCTGGCAGATCACAGGCAGGAGGCTCCCAGGCCCCTGTTCCAGCATTGTGATGGTTCCTCCTGTGGGATTTTGGGGCAGGTAGTTGCGGTAACCTCAGTCCCATGCCTAATCCAATCAGGGGCGCCCCCCTCTGCGCCAGCCACAGCTTGGCAGGCCTTAAGCTCCCTGTACAAGTCAAAGCAGCGGACTAATGTAAAAGCCCCTATTATGTGGCATTAGGATGTATCATTGCTTGGGCCCCCTGCGTGCCTGGGACACACCTCATGGAGCAAGAGGCAGAGCCTGGATCTGCCCGCAGCAGGGAAGGGGCACTGAGGGCAGCCCCCTGCTTCCCCCCCACCCCAAGTGTGGGGCCCTGGATCCGGCTGTAGGAGGTCTCTGCCCTCCCCATAACGGTGGATGGGTGAGGAGTTCACAGCAGGGCACTGAGCAGCTGAGGGGGATGTGGGGAGTTGGGGGCATCACTGGAGGAGTCAGCGTGCTCTTTGCTGGCTCCCCATGCCCCACCCTGGAAAGGGGGCCCCAAGCTGCTCCCCCCAGGGACTGTCAATCATTCAGTGAGGAGCCTTCCCAGCTCCTCCCCACCAATGGGGCCTGGCTTGGCCACCAGGTCCGAGGTTCCTGCTGCTTGGCCCCTGCTGACCTGTCCTCCCTCAACTCCCCGCCAGGACATCATTGAGGACAAACTGGACAAGAAGCTGTGGCCCTTCGTGTCAGACCCTGTCCCTACCACCAGCTCCCAGGCTGCTGTCAGGTAAGGCTGAGCCTGGCTGGGCTGTGGGGGGCAGAGCCCTGACACCCCTGCCCCCCCCGGCGTATAGCCTCTGTGCCTGGGAGTGTGTGGAGAGGACCCTGCTCTCTATGAGGTGGGGGGTGACCAATAGCTGGAGCTCTGGACCCCTCTTACCATGTCCCCTGCACCCTAGCAGTCCCTCAACACACCAGGGCCCAGGATGGAGGAAAGGGACTGGCTGAGCTCCAGACACCACCCTTCCCTACTTCCTCTTGCCTGCTTTGGGACTCCTGTCCCACGCCCTTGGGCAGGGCCTGGAGGAGGCTGGGGGGTAGGCCCTGCGCCTCCGCCTGGCATCCCCTCAGCAAGCCCCTGGTATCCACACAGCCCCTCTCTCCCCCCAGCGCCCGCTTCGGGCATTGGCACAAGAACAAGCCAGCAGCTGAGTACCGGACCGGTCCACGCCTCATCATCTACGTGCTGGGTGGGGTGTCCATGTCTGAGATGCGCTGCGCCTATGAAGTGACCCGGGCCACCGAGGGCAAGTGGGAGGTGGTGATCGGTGAGTGGGGCAAGTCCTGGGGGGAAGGGTGGCTGGAATGCCCAGGTCAGGGACAGTCGGGAACCCCTGGAAGGGGGAGACCCTAGAACTGCACGCCCAGCACCCACAGGGACCTCTGTCCTCCCGCACCCAGGGGCATGGGAACAGATGCGCTTTCCCCAACTGCCAGCAGCCCCACATGGCCTGTATCTAGCCACCTCATCTCCTGGTCCTGGGCTCCCCAGGTCTCTCCTTGCCCAGGGACCTTTTGTGGGGGCCCAGTCAGACACCCCCAGTAACACCGCTAGGGATATGGCTCACTCCCTGCACACACCCCTCTAAGACCCAAGGATGAGGAACCCTGTCAGCGCATGGATTCTTGCCTGGCCGTGCAGGGTACAGCGGGACTAGGGGTGCAGTGCCAGGCCATGGGGGGGTAGGAGACAGCCTCACCCCGCACTAGAGCAGGGTCCAGCTGCAAGGATGGGGGAGATGGTGTTGTTAGCCTCATGCCCGCCCCACTGTGCCCACCGCTGCCAACCACCTCTCTCTCCCCCAGGTTCCAGTCACATCCTGACTCCCAAGTGCTTCCTGGATGATGTCCAAGCCCTCGACCATGAGGCACCTGGGGAGGCCTAAAGGAGCCCCCTCCCCCCAGAGACTCTGCCCCCCACAGATCGCTTTCCCCAGCTCAACCTGCTCTTCTTAACAAGGCACTTTCCCCCCTACTCCTGGCAGCGGTGTCGGTTCTTGGGGGAGGGACGGGCCCCCCAGCCTGCTTGGCTGTTAGGGCAGGGTCAGGCCAGGCTCCCTCCCTCTGACACAGCGTCTAGGGTTGTCGCCCTCTGTGCCCTATGGCTACCCTCCCCCCGATGGGATGGGGAAGAGTCAGGCTCCATTATCTACAGCTTCAGCCATTCCTACCTCCCCTGCCTCTGACCCAAAGCACAGCACCTCCCCCTCCCCCTCCTGTCACCCCTCTGCCAGTGATGTGGGGCATGCAGAGGCTGCTACCAGCATCTGGCTTTGGGGGGTATGTGATCCAGCCACTGAGCCCCAGGCTGTGTCTGTCCAGTCTGCAAAGGGTTAAAGAGAATCCCCCTTCTGCCCCCCTATCATCCTCATTCACCGCCTTGGGGTGCTGGCCCAGCCCTGGCTCCCTGCACCCCTCCCATCACAGCCTGGCACCCTGGCCTCTTGGCCCTGTCCCCCAGTGGGGACCTCGGCTCCCGAAGGGGGGAGGGGTCCTAGCAGGAGTTGCAGTCAGAGTGCCCAAGTAAGTGGGGGTGGAGCCAGGACTGCGTAGGAGGCGCGTCCAGGGTTGGTCAGCAGCAGGTAGAGTGACCAGATGTCCCGATTTTATAGGGACAGTCCTGATATTCGGAGCTTTTTCTTATCTAGGCTCTTATTACCCCCCCGTCCTGATTTTTCACGCTTGCTGTCTGGTCACCCTAGCAGCAGGGCAGAGCGGGCTCGCCACCTGATGGGCCTGGATCAAATGCCCCTGCCCAGAGACAGACACCTCCCCACTGCCTTTTCCTGGGCACCTGGAGCCCCAGCTCCATCTGAGGCAGCCAGCTCCAGCCCCCTTGGGTCTGATCAAGCCCTGAGCCAAGCCTCACCCCCTGAATCCCACGGGCCCTAGAGATCCTCTCCCTCTTGCCCGACAGCAGGGCTGTGCTGGGCCAAGTGCTGGCAGGAGTGATCCCAGATAAAGGCAGTGACCTCCTTTACCGGGAGTGTCCTCCAGGGGGTGGGGGGCGCAGGGGGAGAGTTTGTTTGTTCGCAGCTCTGAGGCCCGCCCCCCCCCCCCTTTATCACAAAGTCAGTGCTGGCCCTGCCCCCGCCTCCGGCTACTGCCCTGCTGGGCATGTGCCTGGGCCAATGAAGTGCATTGCCAAAGGCTGGCCGAGGTCTCTGCTGCTGTTCACGGATGGGATGGGGTGGGTGGCTGTGGGCCCAGGGCGCCAGGGAGTGGGATCTCCCCAGCTCCCCCTCCAGCCCTGCTGCAGGTCCCTGGCTCTGAGTCACCTGGCCACCCCTGCCTCCTCCCTCCCCTCCCAGAGCTCCCAGATCTAACCCTTGGACCCTGCTCCCCTCCCAGAGCTCAGCACAGAACCCAGGAGTCCTGCCTCCCAGCCCCTCCTGCTCTGCCCATCCTTCTCTCCCCCTCATACTCCTGCTAATAATGGCACACGCAGCCTGCTGGGAACGTGCCCCGGCAGGCCCCGTTTCCCCTCCCCCTGGGCCAGCTCCTGTCTCCCTGCTGGGCAAACGAGCCCTGCCAGCACTGCGTGCCTGCTGTGGACGGGGTGAGAGACCCTGGCACCTCGGATCTGCTGCTCGGGCCCAGCCCCAATCTGCTCAGCTGCGGAGCTTTCCACCCTAGATCCCTGTGGGGAATTGTCAGCCCCAATTAACAGCCATTTGGATAATTGCTGCGCGGCTGCCAGGCAGGTGGGCGGCAGATTGGGGGCCCGGAATTAAAACGTTCCAGCAGAGACACCTGCCCAACTGTGGGCTCGCCAGCTCCCCCCATGGCTGCCCTTACAGCTGGGCTGCCACTGGGGCTCCGTGTGCACCCCAAGCCTGCACCTTGAGCAAGGGGGACCCCAGCCACACATGCTGTACCCCTCAGCCTGCCCCCAGAAGCATGAGGGGGGTGCAGGCATGAGACAGCCGGCCATGGTCCTGGTCGGTGCTAGGCAGGAGGGTGGGTCCGGCAGACAGGCTCATCCTGCAGAGACCTGCATGCAGACCCTGCTGGAGGGAGAGTGTTTGGGGCAGAGCGGGATGACTGGGGGGCTTACAGCAGGGCTGGGGGGAGGCAGTGGGGGTAGCAGGGAGGGGGAGAGGTTTACAGTGACTGCAAGCTGTATACAGTGCATGGGTGGAGGGGCCAGGGGGTGATTTGGGGTGGGGCAGTGGGAGGCAGGAGGTGCAGGTGGGTGATACCCCCATGCAGCGGCAGTGCCCCCTGTAGGCAGCACAGGTGCATCCAATGGGCCCTAGAGGAAATATTGTCTAAAGATCGGAGTTCACCAAACCCAGGCTGAGCCAGCCCTGTCCCCAACCTGCCCATCCCTTGTGGGTATGGACTGCAGCCCAGTGCCCCCTGCCCTGGGCCTGGCCATGCTGGGGGCTGAGCGATCCCAGAATGATGCCCAGCGCACACCCCTTCTCCCGGGCAGGGACCCAGCATCTTGTCCCCCAGCCCTCCTCAGAGTCGGCCCCCAACCTCCAGGGCTGGGCGGGAGGCAGGGAAGGCGAGCAGCCTGAGTCAAGTTCACAATTATGCAACCAGCCCGTGTGATGCTGCTTATCATCTTACCGCGCAGCCCAAAGCCGGCTCACCCGCCACTTTCGTGGCATTTCATTGCCTGAAATTAAATCTCATTTCCTAATTACTGGGTGGACTCCAGCTGCTGGGCTGGGCTTTAAGAAGGGGGCAGCGTAGTGTGATCAGCATCAGTTACAGAGACAGCCTGTTGGAGAGAACCCCCCCAAAGCCCGAGACCCCCCTCACCATAGCCAGCCCCCCAGGCTGCATCTAACGAGGCCCACTCACCTCCCTCTGCCCTGCAGGAAACTCAGCCTGGCTGGTTCCTACAGGGCCCATCCAGCCCAGTATCCCTCTCCCTGCTACGCTGGCTCTGCCCAGTGGAATTAGGGTGACCAGACAGCAAATGTGAAAAATTGGAACGGGGTGGGAGGTAATAGGAGCCTATATAAGAAAAAGATCCAAATATCCGGACTGTGCCTATAAAATTGGGACATCTGGTCACCCTAAGTTCATGTGGTGTGGAGCAGCTCACAACATGGGTGCCAACCTCAGGGCAGCCCCGAAACTGGCTGGGTGTTCTCAAAAGAGCTTACAGCAACCAGGTACTGGCTATGAATTCCTCCAGCCCTGCAACAGCCGCAGGCAGTCCCCTGAGGCACCCCGGTCTAGCAAGCCGGCCTCAGTGATAGACAGGCCCAGGGTTAGGTTCCAAAAGGCAATAGAAGCTGCTGTCACCTCCAAGCTCTGTTTCTCTTTCCGGGCTAACCCCAGCTGAGCTGCTTGGGGATCCCTTGCTTACGCTTCGAAATCTTGCCCTCCCCAGGTGCCAAGCTCGGCAGTGCTACAGCTCCTTCTGGCCAGGCATTTTATTCCTTGTTCCCAGAGCTCAAACTGATGGAACAAGTGTCGGCACCTGGTTCCCCTTCAAGGGCGTGGGGGCTGCAGTAGGAAGACAGCCTAAAATAGGAGCCCTTGTATTAAAGGCCTGGTACAAGGCCTAAGCTAAAGTAGGGGCAAACTTTGCTAATAGAAAGCAAAAGTCAGGCTGTGAGAGAATGTCAGGCCCTGCCCGCTGGCACATTCCCAGGGTCTGACGAGCCCAGCGCTGATCATGTAGAAACGTGCAGTCCTGGATCGTGCTTGGCACACAGGACTCAGACAAACCCATTCCAGAAGCTTGGTACGAAAACCACAATATAAAGAATGGCGCAAAAACATTCCCCAAGGATAACTGGAACACACTGAGCCCTCCTAAAAGATAAGGTCAAATAGCAACTTAATAAATAAAAATGTTTTAATCAAACCAACATGTACAAAAAAGTGGACAATAACTAGTCAGGTCAGAGGGCAGTATCTAAGTCAGAGGCAGCTTGTTTGTATCAGGGTATCTCTGAGAGAATGTATTAGTCCAGCCAAGGGGGCAATGGAAAGTCCCGCCATTCACTGAGCTGCATCCGTTGTCACAGGCATACATGTCTTAGTATCCTCGTAGAGTCTGCCAGGTGCTATTACCATGCCTTGTCAACAATAAACCTGGCCGGGTGCCTTAGTCCCTTAACGGATCCTGTGGTCATTGGGCGGTTCACTCAAGGTCTGCTGTGCTGGCTGTCTGCGCAGAGCTGGGGCAGCACACAGGGAGAACACACACACGCAGTGAAATATCTAACAACAGAAGCAATCAGTAAGGATGTTTCGCAATGGCTCTTTTGGTTTCGATGGGCAGGCCCAGCACTTTACACTAATTCATGCTTCTCCCCTGTTGGGGGAGTTACACAGGCCATAGCTACACTACAAAATCAAATCGCCCTGCGTGCAGCCGCCACAGTAGTTACAGCACTTGTGTGTGTGTACACCTGGCTCCTTGTGTCTGTGGTGTGTGGTATCGATTGTGCTGTCAGAGTGGGGCATTGCGGGACAGTCGATGTGAGCAACGCAGTACGTACACTGACACTGCATTGACCTAACTACGCTGACTGGGGGAAGTGGCGTGATTAAGTCGGCAAAGCAGGTGAGTTACATCAGCGGGAGCCAAATTTTAGTGTAGACGCAGTGTTAGGTGGACATAAGCTGCCTTGCAAACTCAGTGGTGTAGAGCAGTTACAGAGGTTTACGATGCAAATGTTCATTCTAACTTTATATCACGGGCTACAGAGGTTATGGGAGAGATCAATCCTGCAAGCAATTCCACAAGTCGAAACACTCCACACACGTTGATCAGCAGCTGTTTTCACACGGCTAACACAGAGGCTGGGTCAAGCTCTGCATTTGTCAGTGTTCAGTGAGGCCTAAGGGCCTGGGCATGAGCTGGCACCTGGTCTGCTAGCATCACAGGACCCATCTAGCCCAGTACCCTGCCCTCTCCCTGCTGCCTCCTTCCCCAAATTAGATCAATGGGGCCAGCCACTCCAGCTAGTTCAGAGGAAGGTGCAAGAACCCCCTCCTAGT